TAGAACAGTGCTAACTAGTCGTTATAAAAGCACCAATAAGGTGGAATAGAGATGAATGCCAACAGTACCGGACTGTTGGAGCCCAACCAAGACAAAATAACTCAATATCTAATTAAATCAATAACTCAATAAGGAGAAGTCAGTTTGAGTTTTGGAAACTTACCATTTGGTAAAGATCTAATTAAATCATATCTTTTAGGTATATATACAAACTAGTACAAAACTCGTGTATTACACGGGTGCTTGCTAATTTCTTTCTTAAAATTTAAAATTAATGGAAAAAAATAGTTGAAAATTTAAATACATTTTATATATATATATATTATTATATATTTAGTATGACACTTTTTATTTTGCGCGATTTACATGTGTTATATTATAATAATTTTTTTAACTTACAACATATAACTACATTAAACATAAATATATCAATTGAGAAATAATTTTATTTTTCTAATAAATTTTAATAAATATAATTCTCTTTTATTATTATAAATATAAATATAATTTATTTATTTCAATATACACAATATGGATATCAAATCGAAGATCATCAAAAGATGATTAATTTCATATATTATATATGTAAAACTGATAAGAAATACAAAAGTTATCAACTTTTAAAATACATTTACAATTCAATAGCTAATTGAAGGAAACAAATCAAAAGTTGGGATATATTAGTCACTTAGTTTCTCACTATGTAAAATTACAAGGAATCAAAGGGTTATATTAGTACAAGTGATATTAAAATACCTAAGTTAGCTCAATAATATTTATGGAATGTCCGAACCTAGATTTTAATTATTAATATATCAATATTATTTGTCCAAACCTAATTACGAAGCATGATTCTTTGCCAAGTAGGATTCCGAAGCACCAGAAACAGCCACGTAGGCTCAGCGCATTCGAGAATTATATATAGGGAGGATAAGATGTTATTGGTAGTAAATACTCAATATTTTACAAATCGCACGGAAGAGGTGAAATTTTCCGTATTTTACTCCAACAAATGAAGAACACGCCAAAAAATAAGACAAACACACACCTAATCTAACTATAGATTATTACCTCCCCAACCACCACAAACAACTCACAACATAACTCATACGATAACGAAGCTATAAACCACAAACGACAAAGCCAGGAAATAAAGCGCGACAGAACCGAACCCCCCGAACTAAAAACTCCACGAAAGCGACTAGATAGAACCGATGTCAAATCTGAAAGTCCGAAGTCACTGATCGAGGGAGAAAGACAGTGCGAAGGGATCAGCTCCGAACAACTCCTGAGGACCAAACTCACGCACCCTAAGGTGACCCGACCCGACCCGACGGCGAAACCAGGGGTCACGGAGGAGACGTTCGAGCTGCGGCCAGGACACCGGAAAACAGCTCGGCCGAGGCAGGGGCAGCAGGACTGGACAGTTACACAAACCCAGCCCGGGAGGAGGCTTCCACAGGCCCTCTCCTACTCACGGTCCCGACCAGGGACCAAGCCCACGGCCGGGGCGAGGTGCCGGAGTGATGAGGATCGTGTGTAGCCACTTCCGCATCACGGAGGCGCGGCGCAGGAGGCAGGCCGACGGGACAGGGTCGGGGGTTAAGAAGGGGGGGCTGAGAAGGAGAGAAGCGAGGCGGCCGCGGCTAGTGATTTAGGGAAGAAGGAAATTAGGATTAACATAGTTGTTTCAAAAATGAGAATGTAACATTTTCTACTAGATAGTAGAAATTATATGGCACGAAATGCATCACCTCACCAGGCATTATCATTATGGCTTAGCCATAAAACTTAACAGCCTAACCATAGGTCGCAACAGAAAACTAACAATCTTACGAATCAAGCACAACGGCGCAAAATGTACTTTACCTAAATAACTATATTATGCATGAGGCTGGCCAAAAGACACTTGTGGTCGGAGCTCAGACAATAAATGGTAAATCGTTCAAGATATGGAATAATTCCATTTGAAGGCCAGATATATAACGTTCAACGGAAGTAAACGGATATCTGAGGAATATCAACGTCATTATCCTCGTCATCCTCACACGCCACCACCACATCCAGGTGGTTGCGCCCTGGTGGCAGATCCACTTTGGCCACGTCCCTCGCCAGCTCAGCAACCTTCCTGTCCATGCGTTCCTTGTGCCGAGGGAACATGCTGTTGTACAGCAAACAGCTCCCGAACGAGATACTGTACGCATTAAGGCCCTTATCGGAAAGCCACCGGAGAAACTCCCGCAGGGTGGGGTCACCCTTGATGATCCACCGGTCCCACACAGTCCAGCGCATGTCCCGGTGCTTCACAACCTTGGGAGGCACGGGCTCGGCCATTGAGAACAGCGGCAGCGCCAGGTTGGCAAATGTGTTGCGATAGTCCTCAAGCTTGTGGACCCCACTTATGGCTTTGTAGAGCTCGAGGCAGACGAGGCCAGTGGCCATGGCAGTTGAGGTGGCGATGGCAGGGATGATACGTCCAGCTATGAATTTGGCTTTCAGCTTGTCGACTTCGGGAATGCTGTAGTTTCGGGCCCGCATGTTGGCAAGCGCGGCTATCAGGTCCATGTGATAGTTTGTATCGTCATCCTGTATGTGACGAGGGATTTTATCAGATAATATTTATCTTGCAAAATAGTCCCTATGGTGAATGATGATATATCTGAGTACAACTCCTGACTGTTTGATAAGTCTCTTGGCAATAACATGACTTTATACTTGCTGTATATGTAAACAGTAAATTGCAACATCAAATATAAAGTGATGAATAATGATTAATGAATAATCGTGTAGAAGGTAACGAGTATGAAGATGAGAAGTGATGGATAAATATATAGAAAAGATAGAGAAGTCAACATTCACCAGCCATCACTTGCATATGCATATTTAAATTTGCAACAATGAATATCTGAGAGATAGATGATGATATGGAAGTGGTTTGTGATGCGTACGAATGTGACGAGGGATGAATATGAAGAAAATATTAATTTCCTGTAGCTTTTCATATGTTATTCTCATAGTTATTGATAATAGAGATTATCCACCTATATAACTATTCAGAAAGACTATTGAGAAAGCTAACGATAACCACCACTGGTCTTTAATGCACATGCGAAAGCTTCTGTCCGTAACATTTTCTGTACAATGAGGAAAAAAAGAAAAAATATCACCTTCACCAAGGGGGTAATATATATTACTGGCAAGTTCCCTAAACAAGAGACATACCTTTTCAAACTGAATTGTTTTCATCCTGAACTTAGCTGGCATAGTCGCCCTACATTTTTCCAGCTTCGTAATTAATTCATCAATAACGGCAGCATCATCCAAAGAAGCAGCAGCAAGACTAGTAGCTTTTTCATCAGTAACAATTTTGACATCTTTTTTGGGTTGGAAATCAGGCACAATGATATTATCAACAGCCTCAGCTAGTTTCTTAGGGTTCATTGCCCAGTCGGGTATGGGAATGTCAAATGTCTCGGCCCGCAAAATAGATGCAGCCATAACGAAATGAAGATGGCTAGGGTCAGTGTTTGAGAACTGCAGGGGATGAGGGAAACGCTTCGGAGCTGACCAGAAAGGTGCACCAGTACTGGTTGCAGCATCTTCAGGGAAGGTGAACGTCAACTGCTTAACCCTGTTTGCAAAATAATCCTCAAACCTGACAATGAACAACAGTAAAACAGTTAGAATTCATACATAAACTCGAGAAAATCATAATATGAAGAATTACTTTAGGCGAGCCCATGTAATGCAATTTTGGAATGATTCACATCTCTCCTTGTCAAGGCAATCAATTACACGCTCCAGATTGTCTCTGGCTTGAGCATCCCCGGCCTTTCTCATTGCAGATGCATACTCACCCGGATTAGAAAGAAAAGCATTTACTTCAGCAGGTGTCTTTTCAAGCAGGCCCTCGAACTCTGATCGGGCCCATGTCAAGCAATGATCAATATTGTGTGGGAAGGAGTGGACAGTGCACATGGGTGCTTGTTTCTCTGGGGGATCTCGAGAAGCACCATAATTTTCAGTTAGGTGAGGTATGACCATTTGGGTATTGCATTTGGCACCTAAGGTTCCAGACTCAAGAAGGGGTTTCTGGAAGTACAAGCATCTCTGGTCAACATAAAGCCTAGCATTTACATTGTCAAGGGCATTAATCACAACACTG